CATCAATATGGAGCTATATGGGGCGTGACCCTAAGCCTATGTAAACCCCCCGTGAAGCCTACAAAAAGCTAAAGGATTTCAATAGTACAAGTATTACGCTAACCCTATAAACCCTAAACCCTATACACCCTAAATGCCAAATTATTTCAATGCTTATGCCCACGGCCTTGATCTGCAAGGTCTGCCCCAAAGAGAAGCAGGCTGCGACCGGCATGCACCTGATGTCGGCAGGTTACATAGCCAAGCAAGGAATTTGTTCGTAGCCGAAACAAAAATCTCTGAAAACGCTCTAGAGGGATGGAAGACACCTAATTCCACAATGCCCCTTTAAGAACATTGTACAGTCATCCCCCATCCCGTAGCTGGTGGATGCACTTCGGAAGCCATCTAGCACTTTCTAGCACAGCATCGTAGCCGTTCTCCGTAGCACCCATATGTCGTCCATGCCCAGTATATATTGTGCAACCCAGAACCCCTTCTTGCAGATACCCTAAACCCTAAACCCAAACCCTAAACCCTAAACCCTAAACCCTAAACCCTAAACCAGGAATTTGCTGAGCACCCCTCGCCCAAAAGGTCCAAGGATGCACACCTGCACTTTGCATCCCTGCGGTGTGGGGTTTTAGGGTTTTTAGGGTCTTTAGGGTCTTTTAGGGTTTTTAGGGTTTCTGGGTTTTTAGGTTTTTTAGGGTTTTTAGGGTCTTTAGGGTTTTCTGGGTTTTTAGGTTTTTTTGGGTGTTTAGGGTTTATAGGGTTTACAGGGTTTACAGGGGTAATAGGGTTTATAGGGTTTAGGGTTTAGAGCTGAGAATGACGCGTCAGGGCATCCCGCCACAACAGGCATGCCAGGGCTCCTGTGCCACAGGAGACTGGGCCGTCTACATCTTCTCTTTCTGATTGTCGGCCCTGCCTGTAGGGTTTAGGGTTTAGGGTTTAGGGTTTAGGGTTTAGGGTTTAGGGTTTAGGGTTGAGAATCCCACGATCGACATGCCAGATCTCTCATTTCCAGCGGCTTGATCTCTGGCGTAAGGGCGGCATTATGGGTGAAGAATGCACCTCTTCCTTGAAAATTGGGGTATACCCTCTACTTACTACGTTAATTCCTCTTCAGGTGTATGAACCCTGAACCCTAAACCCTAAACCCTGAACCCTTTCAGGCTTCATGTCGTCCCCGAGGTACAAAGCCATCATGAGCCATCCGTCTCTCCGAGGTCCTTCGCGACCATCCAGAACGCCGGACATCAGGATGCCTCGGCTCTTGGCTGGGGGGCTCGGTTTAGGGTTTAGGGTTTAGGGTTTAGGGTTTAGGGTTTAGGGTTTAGGGTTTAGGGTTTACGGTTTACTCGGCGCAGTCTCTGTAGGGTTTAGGGTTGAGGGTTTTGGAAGTTTGGGGTTTGCGGCGTAGGTTTTGGGAGCTTCGGGTTCGCGTGATCTGCTGGGGCCTCAAACCAAAGCAACCGCCACCCCCTCCATTTTGCCCCACTGGAGCCCCTTCATGCGAAACCCCAGTGCAACAATGGGGTTTCGAATGCAGTGCCAAAGCCACAACCCACAAAGCCACACACTCGGAACTGCAGCCTTAATGATGCCTCGTCTAACATTTGGGGTTTCCGACATTAGGGGTACCTTTCTTGGGGTCCTTCTTACATAAGGGAATCCTACGATTTGGTCCCTTATGCGGGATTTCCGGGTTCCTTGATCAATGTTATTGTATTTTGGTGTTTTTATAAGGGGTACCCAGATTTTCGGAAACCCCCATCTTCACAAAACCCCCATTTGAGCTTCGCAGCCGATGGGAATCGATGACGCCGACATGGTCCACACCACGGACTGCTGGACAATGGGGGTGCCTGCGATGGCCTGGCACCGAGCGCGTTTAAGGTTAAAGGGTTTAGGGTAAGGGTTTAGGGTTTAGGGTTTAGGGTTTAGGGCTTAGGGCTTAGGGCTTAGGGCTTAGGGCTTAGGGTTTTGCGTTTAGGGTTTAGGGTTTAAGGCTAGTCCGACACTCCTAGTGAGGCACACATCCATCCACCGGCACAGACCCTCCCCACATGAGAAAGTTAATGCGTGTCAAAGCGGTTCGATTGGGTCTTCACTGTCCCGCTCCCCCAGTACCCCTCGCAAAGCTCCTAAACCCTAACACTTTTACATCCGGACTCCCGTGGGTGCTGCCAGAAACTGCCCTATACCCTAACCCTACACCCTACACCTTAAACCAAAAACCATGAACCCGTCCCCGGCGCGCCCACGCGTTCACGAGGGTGCGCGCCGCATCGGAGATAATGAAGGCCACAACGCACAGGACCTCCATTCACAAGGGGCGCTGAACTCAGTCTGAGGGGAGTAACTCAACCCGAAAGCCTAAACCCTGAACCCTAAACCCTAAACCAATGGTCCCTTACCTTCCTTTTTAAAGGGTGGAGTATGGGCCCTTGGGTTGTATAGGGGATATAAGGTGTCTAGAAGGGCTCCCCATTTAGGGGCCCATACTAAGGGCCTATGAAACTACCTTTTGACTTTGGGGTTCTATGGGGGCTTCCGAAAATTGGAGGTGCCCTCTTTCGGGATTGTAGGCACTGGGACGCTGATAATTCTCATGGAAGGATTCACCCCTAAACCCCCTAAACCCCCTAAACCCCCTAAACCCCCTAAACCCCCTAAACCCTAAACCCTAAACCCTAAACCCTAAACCCTAAGCAAGGGCGGCCTGGCCTGTGAAGACAGCCCGGCCTTGCAGACTCAAGGATGATGTCCGAGAAACAGCAGCCCTTGAAGGCCCTGAAGACAAACCCATCTGCAGCGTATGCAAGCTCCATCAAGCTCCATGGCCTGCAAGTCAAGCTAGCTTGATTTTCCCAAGACAGCAAGAAGAATCCAGGAACACAACCCAGCAACTGCCCTCCCCCAAACACGCCCGCAAGAGCCACCACCCTGAAGCCCAATAGCCTTGAACCCTAACCCTTTTCCATAAACTACGTAGTCCTATAGCCACAATCCTACTATATTCTTCCTTCTAAGGGTAATATAGTGATTATGTTGTTTCATTGTGTTCTTCGCATTTTTTGGGGCGGGGGGGAGAGGGGAATTCTGAAGCAAATAGGAGTACCTTGCCCCCAACAAGAACGCGGAAATTTGGGCCCAGAGCCGATGAGGAGAGCCAATTGGCAAACTGGGTGTTCAGGCCCTGCGCCTGGCAAAGGGTTTGGGGTTTAGGGTTCAGGGTTTAGGATTCAGGGTTTTTGGTTTAGGGCTCAGGGGTTCGACCATAGGGTTCCAGGTTTAAGGTCTCTCGGTCCTACAGTGCAGGGTTTAGGGTTTAGGGTTTAGGGTTTAGGGTTTAGGGTTTAGGGCTTCAGGGACCTGAGTTGAATGCTGCGCGACGGTTGGAGCCGGGGGCTGCTTTTGCCTCCGAGGGATTTAGGGTTGAGGCTTTTTTGGCTCCCGCATAGCTGGCCGAAGAGCAAAAAGCAGGGTTTCAGTTTTAGGATTTAGGGTTTAGGGTTAGACAACCCTTTTTGCTTCTGGACTCGGAGCTGCAGATTCCACAGCTTTATAGGATTTAGGTTTTGGGGACTTTGTCTTTGCCACCCGCCTGGCTGCTGCCTGCAAGACTCAGGGTGAATTTTGGGGCATAAGCTGTGCGCCTCAAACCGAAACTGTCGCCCGGAACAATCCCCTTGCCCCAAGCCCCCTTGAACCCGAGGCGGGGCCCCATGGCTTGCTATGTCGCTGTGTAAACATCGCAGGCGATGGCAGCCCTTTTGCCCATAGACACCCTTGCCCCTATAAACCATAAACCCTAAACACTGAACCCTAAACCCTAAACCCTATATAAACCCTATATAAACCCTATAATATAAACCCTATATAAACCCTAAACTCTCAACCCTAAACCCTAAACTCAGCACCAGGGCTTTAGGGTTTAGGGCAGACCCTGGCCTGCTCAAACCAAGTGCCTCGGGGGAGCGAAGAGGGGGAGGGCGCGCACGTTGAGGCTTTCAGATCCGGCTGGGGTGCCAAGCCACGTTCTCTTGTGGTTGCATGAGTCATGAAACAGGCACGAAGGATTGCCGCTTGACATCTGCTTGGTCCAGATATGCACGATTTCGGGATGCAGGACATGATGAAGATGGCTGCCGGTGGGACACTGGATGGCGGCCGAAGCCCGCTGGAAATCGAGACCCGTGGCCCTACGCCCCGAAAGCCCCCACACCCACCCCTCAGCGCTGGGCGGTCCAGAAGCCAGATGCGCAGCCTGCCCTGTGTAGGGTTTGGGGTTTAGGGCTTAGGGTGTAGGGTTGTGCAAGGGCTTGCATAGCATGTGGCGCTGTGGTGGGTTCCTTGACGTGCTCAACCCTGGGGCCGAACAGCAGGGTTTAGGGCTTGCAAGCGGCTCGGGGGAGGACCCTAAACCCTAAACCCTAAACCCTGAACTTTTTGTTGCTACTGGACTGAAGGCAAGCCAGACTCCATGCAACACCCTAAGCCCTAAACCCTACTGTAAATTCTAAACCCTCCACAAATTGCCCGGAAGGCAACCGTTTTTTTGCACTTGACAATTCGATGCTACCGGGAGGCTTCTCATTCTTATATACCATTCTACAGAGTTTGGGGGTTACTACTGTTTGCTTAAGAACCCCGAAAGAAGAAAAAAGAATATTCCACATATTAACCTTAAAAAGGAAGAATATCTTCTTTTTCTGGGTTTTTAAGCAATTAGTAGGTTTGGGTATATAGTGATAAAACTTCTGCATACTCTTCGTACTGGGTTGAAAACCAAATCCCTCAAAAAGGGAATAAAGCCCCACTCTTCATCCTAGAAATTTGCTTCCGCATGTACTATAGGGGCCTGAATAATTAGAATAGGGCTTTGTAAGAGTATATAGTATAATTGTCTATAAAGGAATACTGTTTAGAATTACTCCGACCCCTATATTAAGCAGGCACATGCCCTTTTTCAGCCGCAGTCCAGCGCATGGCTCTGAGCTGTACCTTGCGGCTTAGTCCGAGTCGTCTCTGTCCGCCTCGTTGATGTTGAAGTACCTGAATCTTCGTGCTTGGTACAAGCAAACCCTAAACCCTTAACCCTACATCCTAAACCCTAAACCTAAACCCAACCCTAAACCTGCCCCGGCCCGAGGTCTAAGATGCACTTGCTCACCTATTGAATTATGCTCGCGCCTCATCTCGTATGAGGACTTGCTCGGCGCGATGATGCGCAAGAAGTCGCGGAGGTTCTGTGCTTTCAGATACCTTCAGCCCGGAATTGCTTGAGCCATGCTGCGCCCTCCCGAGGCCTAAGAACCCTAAGGTTGAGACAGGTTCATCCCCCTAAATCTTATAAACCCTAAACCCTAAACCCTAAACCCTAAACCCTAAACCCTAAACCCTAAACCCTAAACCCTAAACCCTCAGGTCTTCAAAGGCCGGACAAGAACACGAGCTTGGAATCCAAAAACCACCAAAAATGCTGGCCAAAAGTACTTCTTCCCCAAGTACTTCAAGTAGCGCTTGGAGAATGGTGCCTTGTCGCTTGCAAAAGGAAGTGGTGCAATCCTCTTCTCAGTTCTGATTCAGGAATATGTTCGTCAATGTTCTTCAGACCTGACTGAGCTAATTAAGCAGCTAATTGCTTCGGTTAACAGGCCTTTCCAGTTCCTTAGCTCGATGCACACCCGGCGCACAGCAGATGCACTTACATTTCTGCGGACGCATTCCAAACCGATCTCAACAAACTCCGCTGCCTCTGCTGTGACATTGATTTTGGCCTTCTCGCGGCTGACGCTCACCTCACCAACGCCCCTAAGCCCCTTAAACTTTCTGAACCCTCTAAACCCCTAAAACCCCTAAACCCCTTAACCCTTTTGCAGCCAGGCCTCTGTAGAAACACCCTAATTAAACTCTCCGAAAAACCCTAAACCCTATCAGAATCTTTCCATGACTACTAGAGACTTTACTAACTTTACTAGACCCAAGAGTAACCTAGGAACAGAAAGGGTGTCCTTTTCGGTTTACAGGGGCCTCTAAGGGAACCCCAACCCCCAAAGAGGGAATAAGGGTCCACTCTGGGTCCTCGTTTACAACACGCATGATCCTCTACCAATTGCTGAAGAACCCCCCCCCCCCAAAAAAAAAAAAAAAAAAAGCTAAAAATATGTTCCTTATTTAGGGTAATATAGGGACTTGTTGTTTATTCTTTTGGGGTTCTTAAGCAGATAGTAGTCCTATTTAGGGCAGCATTGAGTGGCTGGCCCAGGCTCTGCGAACAGCGTGTAAAATGCGAAGAGTGGTTTCTGAATCGCAATCGGCATGGCTTCGCTGCCTTCTCGCCGAGGTTGCCAGTCTTACCCTCCACCTGCGCAAGGCCGTTTTCACTTAGCTGCCTAACCCGTGAAGAAACCCTCTAAAAGTAGCAGGAAAGGAATCTGTTCAGGGCAACCCTAAACATTCAACACCGAAAAACACTTCAGAGATGTTCGGCTGCTGGCACCTGTTCTCCCTAAACCCTAAACCCTAAACCCTAAGCCCTCCTGACGGTGGCCTGCGCTATGGAAAGAAACTCCGAGAAGCCGAGAAAACAAGAAGCGCCTGCCCTGCCCAGGACCCACATAAAGATTTCGACCTAAGACCCCACACACCTGAAGAGTTTCGAAACTCACGACCCCACACGAAGAGAACTGGGCAAAGACAAACATCTCAGAAAGTCACCAAAAGATTCGCCCCCCCCCCCCCCCTAAACCCTAAACCCTAAACCCTAAACCCTAAACCCTAAACCCTAAACCCTAAACCCTAAACCCTAAACCGGAGGAAAAGCCTTGATCCGATCGATCAGGAACTTCTCAAAGTCCCCGAGGTCGATGATCTTGTCGTCTACCGGCTGCCTCTGACCCTAAACCCTAAACCCTAAACCCTAAACCCTAAACCCTAAACCCTAAACCCTAAACCCTAAACCCTAACCCTAAACCCTGTAAACCCTAAACCCTAAACCCTATGTGGTTATTTCCTCTCAACTTCGGTCCTCTTTGGGGTCCATATTCATAAGGCGACCCCTCCCGCTGAGGGTAGAAAGGGACCATAAGTTGCAGAGCTTTCCATATCTCCTCATTGACACAAAAGAGGGCCTGTGGAGTAGATTTTTTGGGGGTCCAAAATCTCCAAGATCGCTGGAAGGGTGCTCAGAGCTTCCGGGCTTTCGGGCCAGAATTTCCCTAAACCCTAAACCCTAAACCCTAAACCCTAAACCCTAAACCCTAAACCCTAAACCTTCAGAGTCGAGGCATGGCCTTTAACAAAATGAAAGACCTTCATTCGGGCAACACGCGTCTGCTCCGTAGACTCTAGGGCTGTCAGAACATTCTCTTCAGCTGATACTCCTGCTACTGGCTAGGTTGCCCAGTCACCTAGGATAAGAACCCTAAATCCTAAACCCTAAGACCCTAAAAGGGTGCCCTCCTTTTTTGCGCAAAAGGGGTTCATAAGGGAACCTAAACCTTCCCAAAAAGGGAAGAAGGGCACTACTGGGCATCCTGGTTGGTGAGCGCGTCCATGTGGCCCTTCTGCTCAACCACATGTCTTAAGTGCCCTTCCCTACCACTTTAGGAGCCTTGCACTTCTCTACATAAAACATGGGTCGCGTTTGGGGTTGCGATTATAAGGTCGGCCTCTTAAATTTAGGGTACCCAGAAAAGGGACCATCCTTGTGAGAGCCGTTCATATAACTGCCGTTGGTGAGTCCATCTACATGGCCCTTCTCGACCCCCCCCCCCCCCCCTTATGCGACATTCGGAGGTGCAGTACTGTGATTTGGGCTTGTGTTTTTTTTGGGTTTTAGGGTTCCTCAGACAGATGGGTGAGTGTAGATGCGTTGGTGTCCTTTCTGGGGAGACCCAGGGCCGCCGGGTTGGGCAGGCATCTGCAACTGCAGCTTTTGACACCGTAAACCCTAAACCCTAAACCCTAAACCCTGAACCCTAAACCTAAATCCAAAACCCTAAACCCTAAACCCTTCTTTGCTTTAGGGCTCCTGTGGTAGCTTGCCTGTGACCGAGGTTGTTCAGGTGATGTTGTGCGAGCCGGATGACTTCGTCAACGAACGACCCTGGCCTGAACCTCCTCCAACACCAGTATCTACCCTAAACCCTAAACCCTAAACCCTAAACCTGAAACCCTAAACCCTAAACCCTAAACCCTAACTCAAGCCAAGGAGCTGGCAGTTGATGGTAAACTTCAGCTGTGCAGGCTTTGCCTTGGGTGCAGCCTTCTTGGGCGGCATGATCCTGCAGCTACCGAAGACAAGGCCTCTTAGGGTTTAGGGTTTAGGGTTTCGGGCTCAATTAGGGTTTAGGGTTTAGGGTTACATGGTCCCTTAATATGGGGCCTTGAAAGGGGACCTTCTTATATAAAGGAGGTAAGGGACCATATTAAAGTCCCATGAAACTACCCTTGGAAGCTCACACCCGCCGTGCCTAACATGGCTCCCGCTTGACTGGTTTCCTGCAGAACCCCCAATGAAGTGGCCGACCATCCAGACACGTGACTGGAGACTACCCCTAAACCCTAAACCCTAAACCCTAAACCCTAAACCCTAAACCCTAAACCCTAAACCCACTGCACTCTGGAGCCCGAACCTTTGCTTCGCAATCCTGAAGTCCACGCTCAACAAGGCCTCATGCAGATGCCCAGCGCCTGAAAACCCAACGACAAAACCATGCATCGTTTAGGGCTTAGGGCCTAGGGGTGTGATGTTCCCCCTTATACTAACAGAGCAGTCCTTCATCGGGATTAGTTTAGGGTTTAGGGTTTAGGGTTTAGGGTTTAGGGTTTAGGGTTTAGGGTTTAGGGTTTAGTAGAACCCCTATTAAGGACTGTTAGTATAAGGCTGTACCAGGAGCCCACCTGGCACGGAGCGCATCCCAGTTCCGTGAGCCAAGCGGCTGCAGAAACCAATGGGTTCGGTGCTGAAATCATGTCCGCACAAATGCGGCAGGTTGGTGTGCAAGCCCTTGGCAAACCAAGTCATAACCACTATAATTACAGTTACGTGTAAACTGTCATAGATATATTTATATATATATATACATATGTATATGGCGTTTATACAAGTATTTCTATGAATAGTAGCAACTACAAATAATAATGGCAGCACTGTTGTAATTTTACAAATCTTCATTGCAATAATCATAGTAATAAAAGCAAGAATGAAAATATAATAACAAAAACGATAATAATAATAATAATAATAATAATAATAATAATGATAATAGTAATAATAATAATAATAATAATAGTAATAGTAATAATCGTATTTTATTATTATTGTTATTATTATTACTATTATTATTATTAGTACTATTACTGTTATTATTAATACTCATTACTGGAATTATCATTGTCTAAGTCTACGCCTGGGATCCGGCCTCGGGCCGCGCTTGGGCCTCCCGTGGGCCAGGACCAGGCTCCGCTTCGGGCTCGTGAAACCTCCACACATGAGCTTGGGGTTTAGGGTTTAGGGCTTAGGGCTTAGGGCTTAGGGTTTAGGGTTTGGGGTTTGGGGTTTGGAGTTTTGGGGGTTGGGGGTTTGGGGTTTAGGGAGTTGGGGTTTTGGGTTTGGGGTTTTGGGCTTGGGGTTTGGGGTGTAAGGTTTGGAGTTTGGGGTTTGGGGTTTGGGGTTTGGGGTTTGGGGTTTTGGGGTTTTGGGGTTTGGGGTGTAAGGTTTACAGGCTTCAGGCAATAGGGTTTAGGGGGCCTTTAGGGCTTAGGGGGCTTTAGGGTGTAGGGCCTTTAGTCAGGGGGTTTGTAGGGACTTTACGTTTTCAGGGCCTTTAGGGTTTCGGGCGGAGGGCCTGTAAAGCTTTGGGTTTAGGGCCTTTAGGGCTAGGGGGGGCTTTAGGGTGTAGAGTCTAGTGTTTCATGTTTTCACACGTGCGAAGGGGCTTTAGGGGCTGGGTTTAGTGTGAAGGAGGTGTAGGGTTTAGGGAAAAGAGGGTCCAGCCTTTAGGGTGAGAGGGGCTTTGTTCCCCAGGGCCTCGGGGTTTAGGGTTTGCTTTTTTGTGGCTTGTCGACTCTCGCATCTAGCCAAGGCAGGCGAGGCTCCAGATTCGAGGTTCCAATCTGTGAGAAATCGCCATGTTCTAAGGGTAGTTACATGGTCCCTATCAGAAGTTATGGTGCCTTACTTTCTTTACAGGGTTCTGGAGTATGGGCCCGTGGGTTGTGTAGGGCATATAAGGGGTGTACAAGGGTCCCGTTTAAAGCGTCCAACCATGAATCACCCTAAGACATATAGGCCCCCTGAACCCCTAGATCCTACTACTGCGTCCTGCGTCTCTCGACCCAAGATTTCATCTTCAAACCCAAACTAACCAGGCTAGATTGCCCTATAGCCTACATGGCCCTCATGATTTGCCTCGCAGCCCTTAACCCGCAAGCCCTAAACCCTGGAAACCCTATCCTAAACCAAGACACCCTGAAAACCTGAAGTCCGAAGACCCACCAAGCCCTGCACTCTAGACCCTAGACCCCTCTCTCCAAACTCTACACCCTCAACCCCCGAACCCCTGAAACACTCGGGAGAGCCCAGAAAGAAGGCTGGGAGCCACAACTCGGCAACGATCTGCGCGTCGGGCATCAGGCCGGAGCCCCTTTTGGGTGTAGCGGTTTAGGGTTTAGGGTTTAGGGTTTAGGGTTTAGGGTTTAGGGTTTAGGGCTTCAAGGAATGCTTCAGGAGGATTTGGCACGTGCTCTCTGCTAGCAGCCCACAGCGCTCCAGTGCTTTCCGAGGCCGCGGCACATGTGGCCGAACCCCCAGAGCATGTGTGATTAGGGTTTAGATTTTTTGACACCCGCCAAGCAAGCACTTCGGGACGATTGGTGACGCTAGGAAAAATGCTGGACAAATCTGATCTGTTCCACATAAAGCTCGAAGGTTCGCCTCTCACACACCAAGTTAAGTAAATGCACTGACTGGTTCTTAGTAGGGACATGAGGGAATGAGGTACTCTATATCCCCCTATCTGTACCCTGTAACGGATTGTGTAGGGAACCTCATTCCCAATTCCCTACTAAGAACGAGAAGGTTCAACTCTCCCACATCATCCCACATCCCACTACGTATGTTCAGAAGGAGTCCCGAGCCCCTTCATGCGCTGTCACATAGGTCTCTCTCTACACCAGGGCACTTCTCCAGTGCAATGCGTAGTTTCTCATGGGCCAAGCGAGAAAAAATTAGAAGGGTGGGAACGTCTTGCCGGAAGATTAGGCAGGTTAAGGTTTGGGAAGTTTTTAGGTGCTGCTGGGCTTTGCAGTGCTAAGCCAGTGCTCAAGCCCATCTAAGCCCTATAAACCCGAGCACCATGACAAAGGCACCTGCCTCGTGAAGGAGGACAGTCCACCCTGTGGGCTGGCCTGACCTTGGCGATCTTCAACACATGCATGTGATAAGGGCATCCAAAAGCCAGCACGCAGTGCATGTGTGTAAAGACGTGTGTGTGTGTGTAACCGGATGAGTGCACGCATTCACTGACCAAACGTCTGCATCGGTGGCTTGGGCAGGGGAGTAGGGTGTCGGGCTTCCACTCTGTGAGTCCAGAATTCTTTGCGCAGGGGCGTTCGGGATCAAGAGGTTTGGGATGCAGCATATAGCGTGCAAGTCTGCCTTTCTAGACACGTGATATTCAAACCCATTGTGGGCCATCCTCTGAGGCACCTTAGCCAAGCGTCCTGCGACTCGAAACCTGCACTTGCTGGGACAAATCGCTGCGGTGATGATGCCATCGGCCCCGTCACACGTTCTGCAAAGGGACGAATGGCGGGTCTGGGGACAAATAGCCTCAGCCAGAAAGCACAACGATAGAGCCAGAGCCTTCTTGATGGATTCACCTTGTTGCGTCCTTCTGATCACTCTCATTACATCCACACTATCGGCAAGGGATCTGATACTCCTAAATGCAGCAGCGAGCGCTCGCCATGCGACTGACTCTTTTCCCTGAATCGATCCAAGGCGTCCGCTGGACCGCTGTTCTCTGGCCCCACCCTGACCAGCATGTCTTTCTCTTGCAGCAGTTCTACGGGAGGCATCTTAAATTCTATAGATGGATTGTATATACATGTGCTTCGGCCTTGGGGGGAAAATTTATCTGCGCAAACCGAAATCCAAAACTCTGAAGGCTTGGATTGGTTTTAGCAGAACTAAATCCTAAACCCTAAACCCCTAAACGCCTAAATCCCTAAACCCCCAAATCCCTAGACCCCTAAATCCCTAAACCCCTAAACGCCTAAATCCCTAAACCCCTAAATCCCTAAACCCTGAACCCTAAACTTAACCCTAAACCCTAAGCCTCTTCGATCCGTGGTGCTGCTGGCGCTGGCGGCCCGCCTGAGCGGCCCGGGCACGAGCGGGTATCTTTTGAACTCAGAACATATAGGGGGGGGGGGGGGTTTAGGGTTTAGGGTTTAGGGTTTAGGGTTTAGGGTTTAGGGTTTAGGGTTTAGGGTTTAGGGTTTAGGCTTTAGGGTTTAGGGCAGGGTTCAGGGTTTAGGGTTTAGGGTC